CGGCCGGGCTGACCTCTGGCCTTTGACCAGGCCATCAGTCACGCCAGGGGCGGGCATTTTCCGGCCGAGTGTGTAGCCATTTTCCGCCGACTAGCCCCAGTTCCGTAACTAACACGCAGATTTTCCACCGGTACAGTGGATCAGAGACGCCGGGTGGCACACGGCAAAAGCCCGCGAGCTGAGATTGGACGAGACAAAGGCCCGTCCCTGTATAACATGGCATCACCTAGGTATATCCGTCTACCGCCCTCCGTCCACCGTCCACCGTCCACCGTCTACCATCTACTGTCCACCGTCCGCCGTCCATTGTCCACTGTCCACTGTCCACTGTTTACAGTCTACCACCTACCATCCACCACCGTCCACCTTACACCGTCCACTGTCTACGGTCTAACATCACCGTCCAACGTCTAGTGTCTACCTTCCACCATCCACCGCCCACCGTCCGCCGTCCGCCGTCCACCTTACACCGTCAACCCGAGTGCCCACTGATTTACGCCTGCCTAACTCGACTGATGTATACTTATTCCGTTCCCGTTCCTGTTGGAACAGCATGAGCAAAACAATCACCTGCTGAACCGCCGCGGCAAAGCCAATATTGAACGGGGAAAGGTGGTCTCCGCTGGCCAATATGCGTATGTTTGAGCGCTGCATAATGACGATATTTGTTTCAGCACGGCAAAGATGAATGACTTCGGCACCTTGTTCTGAAATGTATGATGTCTAAAAAGGCTGCCCGATATTTATTTGAATTTTAATCGCGGTGACAGCAGCTGCCGGGCGCTCATTTTCCTACGAACGCATATGAAAATTAATTCACACGATGACTCCTGTTAGTCAATGCATGCGCACGCAGCAACCATATACTTTTGTAAGCATTTTATTTAGACATAAGTAAAAAAGACAGATTCTACGCATAGTGGTTCGTCAGCTTCACAGCATTTTGAAATCTATTTTATCTAAATGTAGCATAAGCATTGTTGAAGTTGTGTGTGTGTGTCAGTGTGTCGACAGTGTCTATAACTTAGGTTAGCACACTAAATTAGGAGTGTACGGCAACGCATCTAATTGTTTACATGGTGTGTCAAAAGTGGAAATAGCCGGTGCGCCGTCTGGCAACCCGGCAGCCCGCCGCCATAGGGAAATTCATGCTTTTTGTCGCTTTTTCGCTCCTTATGAGTCACTTGATCTAATAAGAGCTTAACTAGGAACGAGGCGGGTCACTTGGACGTATTCGAGAGCCGAATACGGTGTTTTGGAGCCAATACCTGGGAAACCCTACCCGCCCAATGCGAGTTTTTAAGAGTCTGCATGCCCAAATTAACGTTGAGCGCGGCCGTTTTCGGTCGGTTTTCCGCGACCTTCTGGCGAATTCGCCTTATTTATTCAACCAGGGTGGGCTGATTCGCTTAACTAGGAATGAGGCGTTGAAGAGAATTATTCAAGGAATAGAGCAATGCAAAAATATTTTTTGTATTGTTAAAACTGTATCCGCCCTCGAACGATAAATATTGTTGACCCATCAGAAACACATCCCCTGGAATGCGTTTGGACTTGGCTGGATCTAATATTAGCGAGTATCTGCTAATGCAGTTTCTTGGCTTACACAGTACGCACGCAAGCATACATACTTCCTGCCCTTGGTTATTCCTCACTTGAATGAAAATTTTGCTATAATAACTATTCCAAGCAGTTAACAGGTTTTAGTGCAGTGCCAAGTCGGAACCGTTCAGCGCCGCCAGTCTCCCAGGCGGCGCATAACGGCCGCCGCCGGCCGCCGCGCCGCCGCTCTGGCAGGGTGTTTGACTTCATATCTCTGTTGCTAGAAAAGTTGTGGACCGATTTACTTGATTCCTGCATGAAAAGATCCGCCATTCAATTCTTAGCAGATAACGAAAATTTGACGTCAATTGCACGATCCGCTGCCCATATTGTGGTACTGCCATCTATTGACAAGGCTGGCGAACTAAAGCCGGGCGGCTATTTCCACTTTTGACACACCATGAGAACCATGATTTTAAATAACTATTTTCTTACATGCTGAGACATAGTACTTGTGTGTCACCTTGTCGCAAGCACAAGACACTTTTCACCTGTATTCAGCGTTATTCACAAGCGGCAAATACTTTTTAAGAAGACACATTCGTGGGGACTGTGAATAAAAACACATTAATCGCTACGTATTTAAAGAAGGCGGTACATAAAATTCGAACAGAACAAGTCGGCGACGGGAATTGTTGGGACACAATCTCCCTACAGCCGCTCACTGTCGAAGATGGACGTTAAAATAACAATTTGTTTCAATAAGATTGCTTCAATAAACATCAGAGGAGTGCCTCGCGTTTAACAAACCATTGTATGTGTAGTTTCTGGAGCGTTTCATAACCCATCGCTTGGGCTGGATGGAGGGGCTAACCCGCGCCCCACTGGGGTCTGCGTATAACACGCCCTACTGGGGGGGACTCTCCATAGCCCCCTCCTAACTCCGAAACTACTTGGCCGATCGTCAAAATTCAAACGGCGTCTGATAGCCCCGGAAAAACTGTCCAGCGAAACCTAATTTCATTGACCTCAAGTTCACCGATGATCAGGTCAAAGTAAAAATTATTAGCATTTCGGCTTGTTCACATTTTGGGCTCTGGCCGCCGTCTTACATGGCAGATCAGGCTCATTTTTGGTTTACACAATCGTGAACAGATGCTCTACATATCTTGAGGGTACCAAACTTGTACTTTGATTTTCAGGTCAGGGTCAGGTCATCACAGGTCACGGAAATATTATATCATGTGTCGGTCACGTGACACATGTTTTATGGTTCATTTAGGCCATATATTTCAAATTTGATGTCGTCTGTGTCATTCGAGGTCATTTTGAGTCGAATTTAGCTTAGGTCAGGTCACTTTCAGGTAAAAAAAGTCAAATTTTGAAGTTTAAATTTTTCAACAAAAAAAGGTGTCTATTGGATGCAGTTTGAGCTCAGGAACACGATGGTGCTATTTATATTGGTGTACGATGTCAAATACGTACTGAAAAATTGATTTGAAAAATTAATAATTGTGAATTTTTTACAATAATGCGTATAACTTGGCCATCTTTAAAGATATTTAGCTGAAACTTGCTAGAGTTAGTCATACATAAGCATGCGTTTTATCACATATATTCCGGTTTTTTCGAAATGTCAAAAACTAAAAAAATAAAATATAAATTTTGAGTATTATTATATAAAATTTTCGAAATTTTCAAAACTTTGAAAATCCGAGATAACAGTTTGATAGCGCAGTCAATTCTGAGTCCTTTCATGCAAAGACATTGGATCTAGCTTAAAAAACTGAGCTCTTGGGAGCGATTGCCGTGGCTCAATGTTTTGCGTCGAAATCGGCCGAACATGACGTCACTCTGACGTCACTGCCGGCCGACCTATGGTATGTACGAAGTTCAAATTTTGTCACAAGGTGTCAAATTAATGCAGCCGAAGGTACTGTAAGTTTGGCGTCGATGCGTCAAGTGGTTTGGAATTTATTGGGGCGCGGGTTAAACATGCATAATTAGCCAGTCAATTAACCAATTAACCAGTCAATTGATCAGTCAAATCCAAGTCACATCTTAACAGATGGTCGTAGAAAGACGACAAACATCAAGCGGAAACTCCAAGCAAGGCGAACCTGAGCACTAGTTTTTCCTAGAGTCGATCTTAGCTCTGGTCAAGGTCAGGTCAAAGGTGAAAATTACAACTTTCAACATTCGTGGCTGCCAAGTCCGGACGATTAAATGTTGTTGGGAAAAATCACTTCGGACGAAAAGTAGGCTAGGAAGAAAAGTACCGTGCTTGAGGCATCACATAAAAAGTCAAAGCCAGAGGCAGGTGAGCCTATACGGCCTTGGGTGAGCCTGTGAGATCACCAGAGGTCATCACATAGGTACGACTTGTTAAAAAGAGTAGCGCGGCACATTGGCCATTTTACTCATGGAACGCAACGGTGAGGCACGTATCGCTCGAAATTGTTCGAATAAGCATAAGCATGCCCAAACCACCCTCTCCATGCCAGCAGGCACAGCGCTATTGCGTAGACACCCGTTGTCCCAAAATAAATGGTGATGGCGGCGTCGTCGGAAATCTGGTGGTGTCCGACCCGCATCCATTGGGAAGAGCGTCGATTAGATTACAACGAACTTAGCGAGATCGATCAAAAAGGAGTAGCTTGTTATCGATCAGATGCTAATTTCGGGAAGCTATAGAACTTGAATCATCCTCTCTTATGTACATATGTACAGTCTCACGACAGTGATGACCTCTGAAGTCACATCAGCTGCCTGCAGGCATTAGCGGCTAGCAGCACCCAAGAGTTGTGCTAACAGCCTCATGTGTTCGGTCGACAGCGTCATGCAGTCGGTCGACAGCGTCATGCAGTCGGCCGACAGCGTCATGCAGTGGGCCAATAGCGCCGGATGGCCGGTGCAACAGGCGACGCGGCGCCGGTCGGCCGGCCGTCTCCGCCGACCGTGGCTCCCGAGGGTGCTCTCTGCTGCAGTGCAGCTCCAACAGTAATCCTCGCGCCAGACCTCACAGTCGAGTGTGTTCCCCAAACTGCTTGCCTTGTAAAACACACAGCGCGCCATGGTTTACCGTTTTAGGTGTAAAATAATGACAGCGTCCTCTGTTTTAATCATTAGGTACAAGCCGTGCATGCGCTTATGTGTCAGACCCATGGTGCCGCTGCCGTCTAGAAAATGTCACCTCGCTCTAATGGTCGCCATGCTGCTGCCCCATAAATACATAAAACCAGTTTCGGGTGAATCACACGTTGGGTCCAAAATGGCACTCTCCTCTGCCCTCGCGCCATTACGTGGTTGGGGTCATGTTACACGGGGTTCGACAGCCCTCCACTGTGCCCACAGCCCCTGGCACGCCTCCCGCCCCTCCCCGACCCGTGTTGCCCTCCTCCGCGGCGTCTGTGGGGGATGGGGCGGTCGGCACGGACCGGTCCCTGACCCGACCTCACCTGGCTCTCCTGTCAGACGGCCGGTGACGATCTCTGCCCCTATCGACTGCCGGCGACGCGGCGGCGGTCAACAGTTCGATCTGGGCCGCGGCGGCCGCTCAGGGGCTGCGGGCGGGGACGGGCCGGCGCGGCGCGCACTGCTGATCGGCCGAACCGCGACGCTGCTCTGCTAACGTCGACTCCGGCGCGGCGACCCGGGCCGACTGGCGACCGTCGGCGGCGACGGGCGCTACGTGCGCTGAGCGCCGCCTACCTGGCTGCGCCGCGCGCGCCGGCAATGTCGATACGCTACAAACACCAGGGCGGCGCGGCCGGAGAGCGAGCCCCTCCTTAGCCGGCCAAGTGACTGTTGTTGTCGACACGCCACTCCGGCGCCGGCCGCCCGGGTAATTCGGTCGAACCCGCGAGCTCAGGCCCGCCCGGGTAATTCAGTCGAGCTGGAGCCGCCCAGTACCCGCCCGGGTAGGTAATTCAGTCCAACTGGAGCTCAATGCCCGTCCGCGCCAGCCGGCCGGGTCCGGTAGGAGCAGTGGCCGGTTTTGTGGAATTGTTGTCCAGCGATTGGCGCAAGCTGCAACAACACTTGTTTTGTAAATAAAGTGTGGCGATAGCAAATTCTTAGAAGTGTTGCCAAATAAATGATGTTTTGTGCATAGATTCCTGGGAGAATATTGGCAGTTAATGATGCTAGGTTTATTGGATATATAGAATGTGTCGAAAAAAGTTTACCCAAAAAATTTCAGACACAATTTAACATTTGCGGTCCACTCGTCTGAATTGTACACACTTTTGTGTATACGATACTTAACAGATGCAAAAAGTAAACGGTAAAGTTTTCAGGTAATTTGGTAGGCTGAAATCGTAGAACGTCAAAAACATTCTACAATTTTGGTGCCAAATCAACCTGTTTTCAACACCATCCATGGTAAGTGTCAATAATTGACCCGTATGACACCCCAACCTGCATAAAAAGCATCGGGAAGCAAAGAACGTGCCCATAAATACTGCATTCTTTATCGGAGATAGAATTCCCAGTCGTGCTTGCAAATAGCAATGCAGTGTAAGTGTAAGTATATACAAAGCAGAGGTGCTAACCTATAGCAAAATGCTCAAATAATACATTTCCGCCTGCCTGAAAAGATGTGGACTGCATTTCGAACACCTCACTCACACTCCTCGGGTTCTGAAGAAGAGTAAAGTGCACTGCAAGGCACTGCTGAGTGCTGATGCATGCCTTTTTGTCCGTTGTTGCAGTAAAGCATAGGGTGGGGATTTATTTTTGGAAGAACTGTAGACGGCCTGGTAGACGGTGCTCTTTGAATTTTTCCTGCACGTACAAAATCACAGTTGTTTTATAACGATCTTCGATCATTTATTTGGAGTGCACTTGTAACGACAAAAATGAACCTATTTCATTCAATATACTCTTCATACTCATACTCATACTTCATCATATACTCTCCATATTTTGGGATATCACTGCGTTAAAAGTAGTTGGATGCTGTCTAGAATAAAGATTTCATTCAAATTTATCTGGGTAAACTTTTTTCAGTTCAGGACACTGTCATTTTAAGCTTGCAATACGTCATCCGTATTTCACCGATTTTATGCGTGTCACAGTGACACAGTTAAATAAATCCCGGCATTAGCTTAAATTGAGCCTTTTTATAACTGCTAAGGTCCTGCAAGCATCTGATCAAATTCTATAAGTTGTCAGATGCTCCTAAAGGTTACCAGCCGGTCATTTCGAAGTAACAAGTATTTTTTCATTTGGTAAATATACATTGCATAGATAGGTACCTATACACATATGTCAATGCGTATTATGCAGATAAAACGAAAAATCAGTTTTGAAATTGAGTTTCATCAAAGTCTATCCAACAATCGAACAATCGGCCAATGCAACAATGTTTTCTCTTTTTATGATGGCCTTGACACGGAACAGCCAAGGTTGATGCTCACCTTCTGTGCATAACAAAAAAGGACGAATGTTTTTATTTTTCTAGATAATTTAATCTGTGTTATTCCTGCTCAAAAATGCAAACTGTGCATTGCAGATGCTTCAGGCTTCGCCAAAAAAATGGCACCTCTACGGCGCACGCACCGTCGTTTCCAAAACACCGCGCGGCATAAAAAAATGCTTATTCGCATGCGATTCTTTTCTGAAGATGAGCTCCCTCCCCAAAAGCCGGGCAAGGCTCCTGGTCCCCAGTTGCGTGCAAAGGCTCCGAGCAGGCATCAGTGTCATCCGGAGCTGCGAAGCAATCTGACTGCAATAGCTTCGAGCGCGGCCGACAAATATGTTCAGAGGCCAATGTTTGATCTGCTTGGCAGGCAATGCTGCTGACGTCACGAGCTCGGTCGCCGGGGCAACGACGGCGCCTCATGCGCGCGAGACGCAAATCAATGCTAACAAGCCCGATCGGGCGGCGATGGGCGCTCGGTGGGCGCGGGGCGGGCGCCGGCTGCAGGTGCGGTCGGCGGCTCTCGGTCACCTGGCCGGCCGGCGGCGTAATTGGACGGCCGGCCGGTCCCGCCGGGAACGGCCGACGGTGGCCTGCGCGCGGGCGGCCGACCCTGACAGCCGCGCCATGGGCCGCCGACGGCACCGCGGCGCCGCGCGGCGCCGCCGCCCAGATCTCCTCTGATTTGATTGTGTTCGCCACCAGGGGATACCGGGGATATAGTGCACAGAAATAGTAACGTAATTAACCCATTTATGCCCAGGAATATTGACCATCATGAAAATCGATGAAATCAAGATATGTTACGCTTCTACCAGGGCCTTGCATGGAATCGAAAATAATTTTTGCCGGCAGCAAAAGTTTTTCGAGAAAAACGTAAAAAACGTGCGTTGCGAAATCGCAACGAAGGGCACACCGGGCACCATCAGCGTTGCGAAAACGCAACGACGGGCACATCAGACGGACATAAAGTACACTAAACTGCCGTATATGCTAGTTTGTTTTAACATAAAATTCACCAACTGTTGACAAATATTGCTGGAGAATGCGGAACCCACATCCCTCATGCTTTATTACCCGCCTAAGAACCTGAATGAGGGAGCATAACTTAAGGATTCGCGAACGGGGAGATGGCAACAAACGGTCATTATCAACAACAATTGTCCATTTAAAGTACCTATAGTGGCTGGCACGTACCCTGCGCGGTGCTTTCTTTTTGGAAGCTAGACAGAGCCATCAGCCCATTACCCTCTCATATGAAAACCCCAAACAGAAAACAATTTAACCGAGGATTGGGAGTAAACCTGTGCCTCGCCTAAGCGCTTATCCGCAATACCATTGTTAACCACCCTTCTAGGAGTAAAGTTAAATTCAAATGCAGGGTAGTCATGCCTACTCTAAGCAAAAAAAAAAAGAACCTATCCCGCTTTCACAAATTACCCGCGTAAGGCGTAGCGCGTCATAACAACTCGGCTTTAAAGTGTCTCCCAGGACCCATTTTATCACTTTTACACCTAATACAAAATTGTCATTGTCCCACTCTCAGCGACCTTCACTTGTAACCTCTCTCTCCGAGACAATGCCAGGGCAGACCAGTGATTCGACGCAGTTCACACTTTCCAAGTGTTCCGTTAATCCGTCCTTTCCATCTTCAGGATAGTAGAATCCTTCTCCTCCATGCCTCAACCCCTGTTTCGAGCTGGACGGGCAACTATATCGCATTCGAGCAGCTCCCATAGGAGCACAGGTCTGTAGCCGGATGCAGGAAGTGCTTGGGAAGGGGGTGGGGCTGGTTCATGGGTGGCCTGGATGGATGGGCTCAGCCTCGACGATTCACCATGCCCGCTCAGACCAATGTTTTCCCTAATTCCAAAAATGCTTCTAGCTCTAAAATGGTCTGATTAGACAGGCCTACCCTCAGTAAACAAACAAGCAATGCTTCACATCAACCACCTTATCAATCCGTGCAAACCATGAATTCTAAAAATAAACTATTATTTTCCCAGACGCTCTCATCACCCCTGCCGAAGGGGTCTGTTGCCCCCCCCCCCCCCGAGGGCGCATATCCCACATTTGCCGACTCTGGGAGTTATCTTTTCTAACGTAAGGGTCAGCGGATTGTATCCAGAGAATGACAATGCCTATCTGTCGTCTGATACCAGACTACGTCCCCATTATTTAGTACATAGTAGATCCAATTTTCAAAGTACCTCGCTATCTCTCAGCTCCGTTAGCATCGCCGACCGTTTGATGCAGGTCCTTTTCCTACCATGCGATTTTCAGATGCTCGAAAACCCATTGCGGTTAGTGAACAGCCCGATAATCTGCGAGAGAAAAAGAAATGAGTGTTTGATAGCTGTTTAAGTGAGTTAATGTGAAACGTGTCGCAACATTCACGTGCAAATGCACCTTGCACTTTACATACCTACACGTCCCTCACGACTACAAAACGAGAGAGAGAGAGAGAGAGAGAGAGAGAGAGAGAGAGAGAGAGAGAGAGAGAGAGAGAGAGAGAGAGAGAGAGAGAGAGAGAGAGAGAGGAGAGAGAGAGAGAGAGAGGAGGGAGGGAGGGAGAGAGGGAGGGAAGGAGAGAGAGTTGGGGAAGCGTGGAAGAGAGGGAGGAAGATTTGGGAGAGAAGGAAAGAACCCACAGCGTACCACAAGTGAAGTCTATTTGATGTTCCTATACTTCCGCTGCACTGCCAATTTGCCCCTCGTTGCGTTTTCGCAACATCCCTGTCTTTCCGATGTGCCCAACGTTGCGTTACCGCAACACGACTGTAGTCATATTTGAAAATAGCCACAAACCCTATTTGCAGCATAATTTGTTAATAAAATGCATATTCTAGCTATTGAAGGGACTCTGCAGAATATGTTCACACATTATTCATTACGATATAATTAATCACTTAATCTACTTATTTTGGTTTTCGTGACGTCATCACTGACGGGACCTTCGACTTCCCTCTGGGAGCTCTGGACGGTAAGTTACCGGCCGCACAGACTTGTAACTACGTAGCATCATGCGCACAACCATGCTAAACGCGCTGAAACTTGTCTTATCGGTGAGACGCCATTACACACTTCTCAAGATTTGATCACGTCGACGCTTGCTTGTGTTGCGAAAACGCAACGAAGGGCGTAAATGGGTTAAGTTTTGTCGCACAAATGTTTTAGCGATCGGCGCG